ACATATCATCTGATTCCATTTATGTAAAATTCCAGAAAACACCAATTAATCTGTGTAGTGAGGGAAAGCAGATCCATGGAGGCATGGGACGAGGTGGGGCCACCAGGCAGAGGGGAGGGCCTGCACAGCACACAGGGGCATGAGGAAGCCCGGGGAGGGGATGTGTCACGTGTGCTCATCACCGTCATGTCGGTGATGGTTTCAAAGACATAGGCATACATCAGACCCCAACCTGTTGTACATTTTAAGTATCTTCAGTTTATGTCAATTATACCACTACAAAGCTGTTAAAAAGATTCATATTTTGTGTGCCTGTGATACATATTTTTATTATGTATTTTTAGTCTGTGAAAATTACCAACATTTAACACCAGTTCTCTCTGGGTAAAGGAAGATTAGGAATATTCTGAATTTTCTTCTGTGAGCTAATAATCCTCAAAACACTGCAACAATAACATTCTTTTAAAACCAAATGCCTTTTTATTGTCCTTTTTAAAAATATTTATCTGCCCTAACAAAAAACAGAAAAGTAACATCAAGTTTAGAGCTAATTTATAAATCCTAATTGTCTCAGGCCTGATTTTTCAGCAGTGAAGATAAATTTTATATTTAAAAAGAAAACATGTCTTATTTCTTTTGAAAGCCCTTACTACAGACTCTTGAAAATTTACCCTCTATACTGTCAATTATTTCCATACTTAAATTGATAAAGTAACCAGAAAGTCAGTTTACAAAGAGCACCTTGGGTGTGGACCGTCGCCCTCTAAGATGGATCAGTGGTGGCCTTTGTTTTACCCTGTTCATTGCCTTGCCTCCCTGATCCCTCAGTCCTTGGATAGGAAAAGGTCCAGGGGTGGGGGTGGGGGTAGAGGGGGGGTATACAAGTATGGCTTGGTTTGGACCTTCTTTAACAAGTCCCAGTGCTTACTTTTTTTTTGACAGCATTTTTAACTTAGGTGAACAGATAAATTACAAACGCCCGCGAGCAAAAATCTTGGGTCGACAGTGGGGTTGTGTAACTATCACCTGTCTGTGCTCAACCGCCGCCGGCACCCGCACCCCCAGCCGCTGAGCGCGTGGAACTCGTGCCACTAGAAGGGAAGTCGCCTGTGACGCAGCTGCCGTCGCCTAGGGCCGCGTTCCGATTCGGGCCTGAAGACCCTGGTGCCGACAGCGCTGACCTGGGCTCAGTTTCCCCACTTCTAAAGAGGAGCCATGCTGCCCTGTTTCCTGTTCCTCTCCAAGCCCGTCAGCCCCTCGCTGGTGTCCCTGTGCCGCGCACGCCCGGGCTTTGTGCTCACGCCGTGCTGGATCCCTGGGCGTCTCTGGGGTCCCCAGCCTGCCGCCCCCCGCCGCCTGCTGGCCACAGCCACCTCTTCCGGGGACCCAGTTGGGCCCAACTCCCAGGTGCGACAGAACTTCCACCGCGACTCTGAGGCCGCCATCAACCGCCAGATCAACCTCGAGCTTTGTGCATCCTACGCGTACCTGTCAATGGCTTATTACTTCTCCCGAGATGACGTAGCCTTGAACAACTTTGCCAGGTATTTCCTTCGCCTGTCCAGGGAGGAGACGGAGCACGCAGAGAAACTCATGTGGCTGCAGAACCAGCGGGGAGGCCGAATCTGCTTGCAGGACATCAAGAAGCCCAACCAGGACGACTGGGGAAGCGGGCTGAATGCCATGGAGTGTGCGCTGCTCTTGGAAAAAGATGTGAACCAGTCATTGCTGGAATTGCACACTCTGGCCTCAGACAAAGGTGACCCCCATTTGTGTGACTTCCTGGAAACCCACTATCTGAATGAGCAGGTGAAGTCTATCAAAGAACTAGGGGACCATGTGCACAACTTGATTAAGATGGGGGCCCCAAATTGTGGCCTGGCAGAGTACCTTTTTGACAAACATACTCTTGGAAATGAAAATAATCAGAACTAAGCTACAGGCTGCCTTCCCCACCACCCAGGGCATACCAGCACCCAGTCAGCTGTCTCCTGCTTTCTTACCCTTAAATTGCATCTCCATCTTTATATTCTTCGTTATACTGTCCCAATGAAGTGATTTGTAGAGAAAAACGCATTTAGCCCCATGTTAACAAGGGCTAAAATCAAGATCATTTTCCCCTGCCTCAAAGGTAGCCCAGGTGTAAAAAGGACTGCAAAAAAATAGCTGCTGAAAGTAGATGCAAACTAAATTCCTCCAGTTACTAAATACTACTCCAGACCACAAGCCTTCACTAAAATTGTGTGATTTTCAATTCAACAATTGCCTGTTATTATCAAGACCTTATACTAAAGGCTAAGGTGGAAAAATGTGTAAATATACAAATAACTATATACCAAGATGAAGAATATACATAGTACTGGAAAAATCATCATACATGCAAAATTCTATGACAACTTTTATCTTTTTCCAAAGTGTGTTTCAAGAAACAGTAATGTCTGGAGATGATCTGGTTTTAAAGGATTTTGTAATGATTCTAGAAAAGCTATATACGGTACCAGTACTGGCTTGGAAAGTCAGGATGTACACTCTTGCATTGTAAGGGCTCTGGGAGGTCTTGCAAATAAAAAGAAAAAACAAAAAGGCTTAGATTGTTTTTGTTTGGGTCAGTGTATCCTAAACATATCTGATCTCAATGTGTGTGTGTATGTGT